AAATTTAGGGAAAGTTTTGTTTGTTTCGATCGCTTGCAAAATTATTTAGTTGACTTTTATTTAATTTCTATAATTTCTGCAATCAGTGATGATCTTTCAAATAATTACTTCAAGCGTTGTATAACTATAATATACATAAATGTATATATATATATATATATATATATATATATATATATATATATATATATATATATATATATATATATATATATATATATATATATATATATATATATATATATGTATATATATATATATATATATCTGTGTGAGTGAGAATCTAAAATCTACTAATAATTTTACTACACTGCAACCACACTTGATAATTGTAAGTTATCAGTATTTATTAACAGTATAGTACAAAATATAGCTCACTTTACATTTATACAAAATATTCAATTCAAAAAAGTAATATGGAAAATATTATTGAAATTGAAGCTTCAGAAAGAGTGCAACATTGCTCTACTAGAATTGTTCCTTTGTTGATGAGTTTGACATACGTTGAAAGGTTGAAATGTTACACACCATATTTTATCTTTAGCCTATCATTTTTTGTCTACTGTTTGATTTTAATATGATGTTTCTAATTGAATCTTTACTTTAACAAGATATTCGGGGTTAATTCCTTTACAAAGTTCTTTTTTGCACTTAAGTAGCGAAAGTAGATACTATCTAACTCCTATCACTCATTGTTGTTCTCAGATGTGATTTTACAATCTTGAGTTGACTGAAAGTATGTTCAATTGATGCTACACCATGTGATTTCAAAAATACATAGTTTATAGGCTTGTTTTAGTATGTCCTTTAATTTCACAACATGGTACAAAGTGTCGTTCAGCGGTGTTCTTTATGACTTAAATTCTTCATCACCTTCTCCTAAACAAATATCTATTAAAATCTTCATCTCGCTTTTCAGCACATGAATGCCTGTAATTTGGACCTTGTATCCAGACAGAAAAAGTTTGTTTGCTCTTGTTAAGGTTTTAATACTCAAACTTTTTCATATTTAAAGGAAAACTAGAGATTTTGGTGATGGAGGCAAATATTTCCTTTAAAGCCTCAAATTGTTTTGTTAAACCCGTGGCTAAAGAGTCTATGACCTCTTTAAATTCTTTCAGAAAAAAGCTTTCATCTCCATTGCTGTTAATCTTTGGTCTTGTCCAGGCTTGTGGAGCCAAGCCAGAGCTGCTGTTTTTTAGTGGAATTGGAGCCGCAAAAATCTAGCGGCTCTTGGCTTTTGTGTTGCAGTTTTTTTATGAATTGAATGTATGTTTTTTTTTTACTGTAGACAAACTTTATTCAATTATTGTTCAACATTTGTTTTTATTATTCAACATAAGTCAACATTTTTTCAACATTTTAAATATTTTTAATAATTTCTATTTTTTTTAAATATGGCACAGAACATATAAAAGAGGTCTTTGCAGCGTTTTGAACGTCTTTTGAACATTCAAAATACGTCTTTTTTTAGGTCTTCTTATGTCCCGTGTCTACTGGGTATCCAGGGGGCACGGGACATAAGAAAGATGTCTTTTAAACGTCTTTTGAACTGGACGTAGGAAAGACATCTTTTAAACGTCTTATGAACATTTTCGATGCGTTTTGGACGTCTTTGGGACATTCAAAAAGTGTCTTTTTTAGGTACAGTGCTGCCTGGGTAGAATTAGAACTAAAAACTCTAGTTTTGGGTAAATAGTATATGGGTAATAGAAAAAAAAAGGGTATATAGAAAAAAGTGTTTATTACCCAACTAGTAGAGTAGTGATAGTGATACAATAACCTTGTAATCATGAGAGTTGGTAAAAAATTAATTGCTGTAATTGGTATAGTTTTGAGTTAACAAGTGTGATCCAAATAAACATTCTAAAACTTGCGATTTTTGTTTATAAAGTTTGGGAGCCAAACCGGAGCCAAGCCGTAAAAAAGACTGTTCCACAAGTCTGTTCCACAAGCCTGGTGTTGTTCGTAATCGTTTTCTGCATCAATGCGTCGTTTCCTAGAAAATATCACTGCACAAATCATTTATAGCATCTGTGTCGTTACTGATATTTTGTAGGTTCTTGGCTTCAGTGCTTTCAATTAAATTAATACTGTCAATGACATTGAGGTTTGGACTTTAAGATTTCTGTTAATATTTTTATCTTCTTATTTTATTTTATTCTTCATGAAGAAAAGAGTAATAATAAAATCAAAAGTTACTTTTTTTAGAAGTCTTATTGCCTTAGTTCTCATGTTAGTATCAAAAACATTATTAATTGAGATGCTCTGAAGAAGATCAATGATCTTCTCTAAAAAATTCTTTAGTGCCCTGACAGACTTTACTTGTGCGGTCCATCTTGTTCTAAACAGGTTTACAAGATGTATTGCATTGTTTATGTCTTTAATTTTTTCCTTTAAATGACTAAATCTTTTTGTGCTTAATGTGAAGAAAACATGCAATTGATTGAGGACATTAAACAATTCTTGTATTAATATATTAACATTGCAGGCATGTTCAAGAGCAGTGTTTGTTCTGTGGTCTTGACAATGTATCTAGGGTACATTTTGTATAACTTCTTCTGTTACATACTTTTGTACTCCTTTAAATTGTCCAGCCATTGAACTTGCTCAGTTATCGGACTGAAAGGCCATCTATGATGTCTCGATGTCTTCTTTATGTAAAGAAGATAAAATTAGCTCAGCCATCCCTTTTCCAGTCTTATCAGTGCATTCGACTGATTTCAAATGCCTTTCCCGAATCTCACCATTTTCACTGGTGGTACTCACAACTATACTCATTATATCCTTGTGTGAGATATCAAGAGTAGTGTTGGCCATCACAAAAAAAAATTGGAGCTGTTAATTTAATCAATGATCTGATTCTTCAATTCAGTTGCAATTAAACTAATCATTTCATTTTGAGATGATGGACTTCTGTACGTAACTCCATATGGACAAAGGGCTATATCTTCAATCCAGGCTTTTAGTGTGGGATTGTGGCAAGAGATGAGATTTATTGCTGCAGCAAAGTTGCCTCAGTGAGCGCTGTCAGATTCCTTAACACCAGCCCTTGACTTCCTTAAGTTTTGCATGTATCAATAAGAATTTCGACAGTTTTTCTATACTGCAACTCTATTTTTTGTTTTTCTATCAGATCAAGTTTCAATTGTCATCCTTTTCTTATCTGATTCAGAATTTAATTATATAAATTTCTCTGCTTGTTCTTAGACAACAATATCTGTTATATATATATATATATATATATATATATATATATATATATATATATATATATATATATATATATATATATATATATATATATATATACACACACAATATTTTGTGTCCTTTTCTTGAATTTCTGAACTTGCATCCTCTTCAAATTTTTTATCAGATGTTTTTTCTTCTATGGAAATACAACATATTGAAGTTGATGTTTTAATTATTATTATGTCTTCTAACTTTGTATGTTCACTACTTTGTATTTCATCATCCACCTCGACATCAATATAAGCATTTTGATATTTGATTTTTCGTTTTTTTTTTTGAAGCTAAGGAGGCTACAAAAGGATTCTTTATAGCTCCCACTGTTTGTATATGAACCTTTTTACCACCATGAACGGATCTTTCATGACTGGTTTTATAGTTGTTATTAAAAACTGCTTTCCATATGCAACATTGTAATTTATATCTCTTTCTTTTAATAATTAGTGGTCTGGAAAACAAGCTCAGATACTATAATTTACCTAAATTTTTAAATAAGTTAATGTTTATAAAAGTTATCACTCTAGAGATAATAGAATAAGACTAATAACCTTATTATATATTCTTACTCATATTGCACCTAATTCAAACCTAATTCCAATCCAACATTACTATACTGATAGTTGGAAGTAATAACAGGCGCAAAGCTGTTATTACATATACTGTGATTAGAGTTTAACATTTATTTTCTTATACTTTCTTATAAAAAGCTTTATATTAAATTATTATATTAAAAAATGAATCATATCATTTTAAATGAAATAATATCTTACATACAAAGACAGAAATGTTAAAATTATTTCATGGAAATAAATTAGAAAGTATGCAAAAAAAGATGTTTTTAATTAAACATACAGCATAAAATTTTTGCTTCCATTTTTATTATTGATAACGAAAAAAAGTAGAGCGAAAAAAAAGAAGTGGAAATCAAACGATTGTCTTGTCTTAAGTTGTTTAATAAACTTAAAGTTTATTTGTCCAAGTAAAAAAAAATTTCGAAAATCCATAATTGATGGATTTTTAAAAACCTTTTACTTTTATTTTATCACCAATTTCCCAACTGTCCAAACTTGTTGCAAGGAAATTCCCAACTTTTCTCATTTCAAGATTCTGAAGAGGGAAGACCACCCCACCCTACCCACCTTAAAGTGACGCCCCTGGTGTATATGTTAAATGTATATATATATATGTATACATATATTTGTTTATACTATACCACATATAGATAAAATATCACTCACAAATTTACCAATTTTTTGGTGTTTTGTGTGTGTGTGCAAAAGAAGAGGAAAAACACTTATCACTGTCCCAACCCAAACCCTTAGTCAGTGTAGCAGCAACTCCATTGCATATTCTCTCTAAATTGTATACTGAAGCCCTCTCAGTTCCTTAAATAAGTATCATGTCAGATGTATATATATATATATATATATATATATATATATATATATATATATATATATATATATATATATATATATATATATATATATATATATATATATGTATATATATATATTTATATATTTATATATATATATATATATATATATATATATATATATATATATATATATATATATTTATATATATACATATATATATATATATCTGACATGATATATATGTACACACACATATACATTCAAGCAGGAAATACAACTATATTTATGATTTTATACTTTATTTTATTTGTTATTGTAATGATACATAACCTTAATAATCTTGGTAGAATTTTTTTTTTTTAATAGTGGACACATCACGTGTACGTTTAACAAAAAAGCCATTTACAGATGGATCTGATTACATAAACGCATCTTTTTTCAATGTATGTATGTTTTATAAAACTTTTAGTATAATTTCATGTATTTTTTGTACAAAATTAAATTATTAAATTTTGAAGTTAAATTTATATTTGTATAATATTTTTTATACTTGAGTCAGATAATTTTTTTTGACTCACTTAAAGTCTGGAAAAATGAAACAAAGGCCTCTATGGAAAAGCCTGATTTTTTTTTAATAATTTTTTTTGTGTGTGATATTTTCTTGTTGTTGTTGTTGTTGTTGTTGTTGTTGTTGTTGTTGTTGTTGTTGTTGTTGTTGTTGTTGTTGTTGTCAGTTGTTGTTGTTGTTGATGTTGTTGTCAGTAATGTTTTTTTGGCCAAAAGTTTATTAAAATAATGTTTTAACTAAAAAATTTAAAAAATCAAGTTTGAATATTTTTAGTGATTAGAAATAATATAAAATATTTATTAATTTTTGTTTTTCTTTCATTTGTAGGGTTACTTTCGTAAAAAGGCTTTTATAGTTACTCAAATTCCACCATTTGATGAAAGAGATGAATTTTATCGCATGGTATGGGAGAATAACGTCAAAGTGGTTGTTAATTTACTCACAGAAGAAGAGCTTGTAAGTTTTATAATTTACTCACAGAAGAAGAGCTTTATAACAGTTTCATAAGAGTTTTAACAAATCTGCCTTGTTTAGGTCTAGTTTTTTTTTTTTTTTTTTCATAACAGATCTATTAGAAATAAATCTATTAGTTCAGTAGGCTGTATGCAGTAGGGTCTCACTTAACCAAGACCACCTATAGGTCTTACTTAACCTGTCTTGTTGTTTTTATGTTTTTATAAAAAGAAATTCTTATATAACTATATGTAATTAAGTAATAAATAAAAGCAATAAAATAAATGTTGATGACTTAAAACATAAATAATATAAAATATGTTTAGAATATCAAACTTAAATGAACTTTAATGAATAATGAATATAGGAACCGTTGTGATATTTTTTTTTTAATGGAAATTTTAAAGCTAAGAACATGTAATTAAAGCAAAAACCGGAACAAAAGTAATTCAACTTCACTCCTGATTATAAAATTTAATTTCAAATTAGCATGATTCTATTATAAATCTATGGACTGGATCTTCAAAAGTAATCCATCTTATGAATTGCTCAACATTCAAAAATCTATTACTTGTATATTTAGTTATCTTTTTCTTTGACCATAAGTGCTTTGGAATTTTTACTTTCATATTTTATAATCTGATATATTGATAGTGTCTTACTAATAGATATTGTCATGGTATTGTTTTTGTGCAAAAGCTTATAGTAGAATAGAAAATATATTTGAAAAAAAATATATATATTAAATTGGTTTGATTTTATATAGTCTAGAATTTATAGTTTCCTGCAAATGTATTTTATTTTATTTATAGTTACTTTATATTTTATAAATATTTATAACTAATTTTGGAATGCCAATATTTTTTTAAATGCCATTTAAATATTCATTTTTTTTTAGACAGACATCTGCAATGTTAATTTTTTATTTGGTATGACTAGCCTAATTGAAACTGGAAGTAATGAAAGTATAGGTGGTTACTCAATCGAAGTCATCGATGAAAGAAAAGAAAACAATTATATTCATAGAACGCTGACACTGTCAAACACTTCACTAGTAATTTATTTATGCATAACTTTTTTCTCGCTATGTTTTCTTATTTTGCTTTTGTATGTTTAGTTCAGTGGTTCTCAGACTAAGTACTTTTTAAATAATAGGACACCAGCTTAAAAAAACTTTCAGATTTCATAAAATTGAGAAAAATGCTCTATACAAAGTACTTTATATCACATACTGGTCGTATAAAATTGTCGATAAAATAAAACAAATTTTTGTTAAACAATTACTGTCAATGCAAATGCATTGAATAATTAAGTAATTAGTAATATTATTGTTATTGTTGCTCATATTTACAATAATTATATTATCACAAAAAAAAAAAGTAAAATAAAAACATTTTTGTGTTTTTTGTTTTCAGCACCTTGTTTCATTTACATTTTCCCATTTTAATGTGTTTCTAATCAACTTACGAAAATAGTCTTTTATATGAATAAAATTAAAATAAACAACAGATATATTTTAACAAAACAAAGTTCTAAATATAAAATTTGGAAATTGTCACAGTAAATTAAAGAAGGCTACCAATGTTATAAGAAGGCTACCTGTGTTATAAGAAGGCTATCTATGTTATAAGAAAGCTACCTGTGTTATAAGAAGCCTATCTATGTTATAACTCAAAATGCTGTCAATCAATGTTATAATTTAGCTATTCAACATTTTAAACACAATCATGTAAATAAATATTAATTTACTTATTAAGATTAAACAAGATTTCTATAATAAATTATTATTTCACCTAATGCTAATGTTATTTTATCCGCAACTGCTCAAATTTTAATGAAATTAATGGTTTCCATGGTTTCCTCTGATCACTTTTGATCGGTGTTATCACAATTTTAGAACCACTGGGTTATTGACCTACAGTTAGGTTTTAAGTATTAAAGTACCCTCATTTACTTATTTCACATTTGTAAAATACTGTTTCTACCGTATATCTTTAGGGAATTCATGGCGAAACTCGTCAGCTCCATCATTATCATTTTTATAGTTGGCCAGAACTTTTTTTTCCGCGGATGGCTTTTCTTTTTTATTTCATTAATGATGTAGTGAACTGTCAACAACAATTTGGTGATTCACCTTTATTAATTCATTGCAAGTAAGTTTCTTTGTTGTAAAATACTTTTAATAGGATGTCTACCGGATCAAGGAAAAGTCAGAGAATTTAGATATTTGCAAAAAAATCAGGTTAAGGTAACTTTAAATAAAATCATGGGAAAATGTAGTGCATCAGGGAAATTTTATGGAAGTTTACCTTAAAATATCGGCAGACACCCTGTTTAATTTAATTGTTTATTTATGAATTTTTTTATTTTCATTTGACTAATTTATCTCCTAAACTATACATACATACATACATACATACTAAATCTTCCCAGGAAGCACGAGCAGTCGCATGCCTTGTTTGTCCACATATAAAGTACTTTTTTTAGACAAACTGACCACAACAGTTCGCATCTTTTAACTTACTAAGCGTTTTAATAATTCGCAGCAAAAAACTAAACTTATCTACTAAGAAAAAAAAAGTAATCCTAAAAAAAGTAAACAAATATGTAACAAAATATCAAGTTTAATTAAATAAGTTAGAAAATTTAATAATTAAAAAACGTAAATAAAAAAATAAAATTTTTTTATAAAACTTTTATACATTCTTTTTTTTTAGAGTCGTTGTTGATATAATCATCTTTTATAACGATTTAACAACAATTGAAAGTTTTGATATGCAATTTATTCGCAATTTTTATTAGTCCATATAATTAAGAAACTAATTTGTTATGTACATTAGATCTAGCGTACATAACAAGTTAGTTTGATTACATAACAAAATTCTCAAAGTTCTATAGAACTATGAGAAATTTTATTAATTTTTTTCTTATGTTCATTCTTTTTGTACGTCTTTTTGCTTTTAAAAAGATTTTTTCTATATTTTATGTTTTTTTTTAATACTTATATAATAGGGAAAAAAAAAATTGTTATTTATTTGTAAAAAATATTATTTGATAATAAATTTTGTAATGGCGGAATAAGTTAAACAAAAAGATAACATAGATGCACTTACTGCATTTGATGCATGTCTGAAATTATTTCTTTTATAATTCCAATGTTAATACGAGTTACTAGAGATAATGAACATAACGATTGCTTTGTTTAAAAAAATATTCAAAAACTTTCAAAGCCCACAAGCTTTCGTAGCATTGTCAATAACAATAGTTCTTCAGGTAATAAACTATCGGGTTTAAATGCAAAATTTGGATAATCCTACAATAAGGCAGACTATTTTAATGAAGGTATTGAAAACAACCAAATATTTTAATAATACTGAATTTAATAGTAGTAGTAGTAGTAGTAGTAGTAGTAGTAGTAGTAGTAGTAGTAGTAGTAGTAGTAGTAGTAGTAGTAGTAGTAGTAGTAGTAGTAGTATTAAAAAAAATATCTACATTTTGAAAGTAAAATAATATTAAAGGTGATAATTTGATAAGATGATCATTGACAAAACATGATATCTATATAATAATACTGAACTTAATAGTAGTGTCCTTTCAAGCCTGTTTGACACAGAACTTTTGACTGTCGTTGCAACCAAGGTAATAACGAGAAAGAATTGCAGCAGCTCAAAAAACTCGAACAAAAATAAATGCGAATATCTAACGTAAGTAAATTTCAAATTATGCAACGTTAAAACATATTAAAACATATATCATAAACATAAGAGGTGTAAATTAAAAACTTCGATAAACCAAAGATTTTTTTTTTAAATGACTCAAATATGTATTAATAAAGTTTTAATACTAATATGATTTTTTAAGATTTTTTTTTTTTAATTTTTTTTTAATTTTTTTTATTTTCCTTTTCAAAATTTACATATAATCATATAATAACAATAATAATAATAATAATAATAATAATAATAATAATAATAATAATAATAATAATAATAATAATAATAATAATAATAATAATAATAGTAATGGCAATAATAACAATAATAATAACTATAATAATACAAATAATATAATTGTAATAAAATATAACTAATAAGAATAAATATTAATAATTATTTGAAAAGGAAGGTGTCATTCAAACAGAAGTCTGATCAAAGTAGTGACACCAAATAATTATAACAATGATGATTAAAAAATAATAATATTATCTATAATGATACAAACAATATATTTATAATAAAATATAACTAATAAGAAAAAATATAAATATAAATAATTATTTGAAAAGGAAAGTGTCACTCAAACAAAAGCCTGATCAAAGGAGTGGCACTGAATAACTATAACAATAATAATTAAAAATAATAATATTATCTATAATGATACAAGTAATATGATGACATGAGTGTCACTCATGATTAAAATAAGTGACACCAATTAATTATAACAATTGGTATAATAATAAAATAATAATAAAAATGACAAATATGAACCGAAAATCGCTAAGAAAATAAATAAAATAATAACAACAATAAAGCTAAAATAAGTTTAAATAATAAGACAAAAAGTATGAAAACACTCAATAACAACAGCAAACAAAAATAAAAATAATTAGCAAAACAGAACAAATAAAAAACAAAATTTACACAAACGAAATGGCAAAAAACTAAAAAACGAAAAGGCAAACACAAATACTTCTACATAATAAAATTAAATTAAAAAATAAGGACAAACTTTAGTTATTTTTTGCGAAATAAAAAAAATAAAGGTGTAGAAAATTTGGTAAAATAGAAAAACAGAAAACAACAATAAAAATAATTAGCACAAATAATAACAAACTTTACGCAAACGAAAAGAAAAACACGAAAACTACAAAACGAAATGCTTCCATAAAATGATAATATTTAACAAATATAATATTTAATAAAAAGATTGTATACAAACATGTCTAACGGCATTATACACTTTAACAAACAGATTTTCAAAATTCTAAAAAATGGGCCATATTTGTTGCGTATGTGTCTTGATTGAGAAACTTATGTTGTTTTAGTTTTACATTTCAAGTTTTTTTTACAACTGAGTTGAGTTTGTGCAAGAAAAATGAGTATACAACATGTTTATTTTTAGAATATAAAATCTATAGAACTGTAAAGTTGTTTTGTTTTGCATTTTAAATAACAAAAATTAAAAAATAAAGCAAGCTGATGATTTTAACTTGCCATGCGGCGACCTCAACTTTTTTTAAACAGTAAGGGGGTTTAAAAAAGTATGTTTATATAAGAACATAATTGAAAATTCTAATTTTATACTTAAATTAAACCATTTTATTAAATTAAATACTTAAAATAATTAAAAGTTAAAGTTAGTTAATATTGATACAATAAAGAAATTTAGAGTTTTACAGCTATTTTACCACACCCCTGTTAAACATTCTAAACCAAGTGTGCAACATTGATAGAATTTAGATAACCATCAAAATAGTAATATACTCTATTGTTTTTTGGTTTTATATACTTTTTGGCTGATCCCTAATCTAAACTTTTAAATAAGTGATCGTCCATAAATTATGCAATGCTAAATTTCACTAATAAACAAAACTCAAAAGATCAAAATTTTTCCTCGCAGAGTTGTATGTTAAATAAAAAATCAAAATAGCTCATTAAGTTTAATGAAAATATCCACCTAAAAGAACTGAAGATCTCCTTTTTTTAAAATGAATTTAGCGTTGTGTAATTTATGGACGATCCCTTAGCATTTTATAGTCTATAGTTTTTAATGGTCTAAATCTCTGTAAATGTAAACGTCATAAGCATATGTTGAGTTTGCAGGCAGTATATGGAACAATTGTGTATAATAAATCTATAAAAATGTGAAAACTTTTGAATTTTATTTTAACAATTAGAAAATTTTTTTGCTGTAAATATTGCTTTAGTTATCATAGATAAATACTCTAATGAAAATTTTGCTATAAATATTGCTGTAAGCCCAGCAAAATTAAAAAATATTCAAAATTTATAAGGGGAGGTCTTTAATTCCCCAAAATGACACTGATGACAATGCACTAAACTACTGAGCTATTAATGGTATGCATTTAGGAGAAAAACAGACCTAATTATAAATCTCTTATAAGCTCTAGGTATGCTGAAAGGGTGCGCATGTTAATTTTTTTGCTTTTAAAGCAATTTTTTTAAATAAATTATTTTACATAAAAATATCGAAGTAAACAAATCATAGGTATAGAAATGATTGGTGTGGAATAGATAAGTATAAAAAAAGTAGGTTTGGTAAAGACACGTATTTTATGGGTCAGGAAAGCTAGGATATATATACATATATATAAGGAAAAAGTATAGAAAAGGTCAATGTAGAATATACTTACAAAGACCCGTATTTTTACGGGTCAGATCAGCTAGTATTCAAATATAAGTATTAATGACTATAATTTTTTTACATGAAAAACGTGTTAAAAAATAAAAAAAAAAAAAATTTTTTTAAACAAATAAATAGCAATTAATTTTCTTGCGTTCCTGTGCATTGATAAAAACAGTAAAATTAAGCAAAAACATTTAATTAACAAATTTAAAAAATTGTCCATGTTTCTAGCGCAAATTATAAAGTATTTCCATAATATACTGACTGAAAAAAGTCGTGAAAAAATTATATATCAAAAAATATTTTTATTTTCATTATATTCTTATTTACTTTTTTCCTTGACTTGTATCAATTTTGGAAAATAACAAATGCCCTAAAAATAAGTAAACAAAAACAGTAAAATTTAACAATTTTTTTTTTTAATATTCAATTCATTTTTAGCTTATTTTATTTAGATTTTCTATTTCGTATTCATAATAATTTCATATTTATAATAATTTCGTATTTATAATAATTTCGTATTTATAATAATTTCGTATTTATTTTCTTTTTTTAATATTCAATTTATTTTTAGTGTATTTTATTTAGATTTTCTATTTCGTATTTATAATAATTTCGTATTTATTATAATTTCGTGTTTATTTTCTTTTTTTAATATTCAATTTATTTTTAGTGTATTTTATTTAGATTTTCTATTTCGTATTTATAATAATTTCGTATTTATTATAATTTCGTGTTTATTTTCTTTTTTTAATATTCAATTTATTTTTAGCTTATTTTATTTAGA